ATCGATCGCAATTCAGAAATAGACTGGTCACTTGCCTATCAAGCTTTACTTAAAGATGCTGAGGTTGATCCTTGGAGCCGAGGTTTATACGAAGGAAGGTTGTATTTAAGTTGGTATAAAAAATTAGGATACATTCCTACACAAATCCCTTCCAGGATGGGGTATGCTTTTAGTCAGTGCAGCCGAACGCTAGAGTATGCAGCGAACGACTATGCAATCAGTTTGGTAGCAAAGGGTATGGAATTTCTTTTTCACTAAATTCAATACTTGGTAAAATTACGCCAAACCAATATCACCCTTAACTTGATTTTATAACCCAGGTATGAACAAGAAAATGGACTACGTGAAGTATCGAAATCGTTCCAGAAATTGGGAAAATCTGTGGTACCCTAAAGAATTTCAGGGTATGAATTTAGCCTCTTTCCGTAAATTATTGACACCTCGTTAACTTGATTTAAAAAAATCAAGGTTTTACTGGATTCATCCTACCCAGATATATCGATGGCAAATTTAACACAGAATGGGATATTATGTACACATACGGAGGAGAAACTCCGTTTTATGAAGGCACCTCTTGGGAATATAGCTTTTATGCTCCTCACGGTAAGCCCTTTGCATCGCGAAATTCGACCTAACGCTGATCAAAAATTTATCTAATCGATTACCTATAACTTACGCGATGCAGATATGAAAAAATTAATTGAGCTCTCGGGTGGCCCTATAAAATTTGAGGAGCGTCTTGACAAAACATTTAACAACAGTGATCCTTACAGACCGTATAGTGACGAATATTTTAGTATTGGAAACGAACCAGGTTTCTTGACCCCATGTTTGTATCACTATATTGGGAAACAGTGGAAAAGCGTCAAACTAATCAGAGATATCATGAAAACCAAGTTCGGAAGTGACAGATCCGGAATCCCTGGTGAGTCTATATTTCCATAGTATTTTTTTGACACTTAAAGCACGAATATAATTCTGCCAAATATTTCACGCATGAAGGAAACGACGATTCAGGAGCAATGGGGTCTTGGTACGTCTTTCATGCGATAGGAATCTTTCCAAGGTAGGTTATCATTTAAATCATTTAATAAAACGTCAACCATGTTCGATAATTGTTGTTTTCTTTTGTCATACATTAGTGCCGGCCAAGATGTCTACTTTATAAACTCCCCTCATTTCAAAAACGTTACAATTAAACTCTCCGATTCGTCTGATTCAATTTTAACAATACTTGCATATAATCTTTCCCCTACGAACATTTATGTTCAGTTAGCAAGGCTCAATGGAAAATTTTGGGAAAAAACGTGGTTTAGACATTCTGATATTGGTAACGGTGGCAAATTAGAATTGTGGATGAGTGAAAATGTGAGCGAAACTTGGGGAGTTGGCAAACACTTAATATATCCGCCAAGCCTGAGTGACGAGGTTGTTGAAACCGGACTTCCCTTTGTTTCTAGTATCGAGCCCGACCTCGTGGTTGATGAGGTTTTAAAGAAAAATTAGATTGTGGAATTAATATTTTCATAAATTAAAAATTTCTGTTTTCACTACATTAGATCTGAGCCATGCAGTATCAGTCCATTACTAAGTTCTGGTATGGAATTTTTGGTTTATTTTATAAGCCACGTTAATAACTAGTATACAGTTTCCAATAGAAATTCATGATAGATATAACATTGTCAAAAGAATTTATGTACGTATAACTATCTATATTTTATAGAGAAAAACTAATTGTTTTTTAACTACGCCTGTTATTAATATACAACGACTTCCAAAGTATGAAACACCAATATATAAAATTTTTATTATATATATAGCAAAGAGATTTAGAAGCACAGCATAAAATGTGTACTAGAGATCATTATTTTTACCAATGATTTATTACAATATTTTTTTTATTTTTTTTATATATCACAAATGAGCATTAAGTGTGTGACTTTATTTAAATAAAAATATTTACTATCTTTACATTAACAATCTTTACATGAGTAAATTAATTGTAACCTATTGCAACAAATCTATGGATATCAATTATTACCTCTAAGATGGACTCATATCAACAGTGTTGAATATCTAATGCCTATTCAAAACAATAATGTATTGCTAGGTGAAAATTGATTTATTAGTGTGACTATGTGAGTTACTTAGCAAGGTTGTAATTTTGTTGAATGTAATGTTATTATGTGTATTTGAACTTGAGAATGTATTGAAGAAAAAGTATAAAGAGAAGAACTGGAAGTAGTACTTATTAGGTGAATAGAACCCCTGCAAAAAAAAATCCTTTTAAATCTGACCATTTGCAGCTAGGTATACTGTTTAATTTTTACCTTTCTAGAGCTATTCAAGAATATTCAAGGAACTTATAACAGCCTTATTGCTATTGGACTTACCACTGAGGCCTTCTTGAGATAAGTAATTGTTGAAGTGATTTATTACTGGATTGGAATAAGACTTTTCTAAAAATTTGCAAAAAGAAATATCAGGTATTATGAGGAAAACAATTACCAAGTCATCTTAATAAAATGAATACCTTATATATTTTGCAACTTCTAGCAATTATCATAACATTAATCAGATAATCATTATATCATAATACCTTTTCTAGAAATTACAATCTCAATGTCCACTGAATTAGCATATAAAACAACTTCTCATAAGAACCAATACTTTTACAAGTTATGATATCAAATACTATATTAATTTTATTCAACCATCCTTATATAGGATTGAACTAATATCTTATAATTTAACCTATAGAGTATTAATCACTACATTATCGATTTATAGGTCATATATTTTTATTTATAATTTTTATAAATTATTTATATAATAAAGAATAACTATTTAACAAAACTCTTTTTATTTTTATAACAACTGAAATTATATTTTTATTTTTAAATTAATAAAATAATTATTTTTCCTAACTAAATATAACCTGTTGTTTAAACTATTATAATATATTTAAATTTTTATAATATTGTAAAAATAGTATTATTACTATATAGAACTATATATATTAAAATCTAATTTGAATTTGTATATATAGCATTAAAAGTTTAATTAATTATAGTTATATTTAGAGATTAATATATAAGATATTTATTTACTATGATTAAGTTATATATCTAGCATATTATAAAGGTTATTAATATAATGGTAGTAAACTTATTATATAAATAAAGTTTCATATTTAATACTTGTTTATAACTAAAAAAAGCTATATATTATTTTTATTATTTATTATTTTAATTAATATTAAAATATTTAAAAAAAATAGAATTTTGATTTTTTACTTCAAAATAAAAATTGTTTTTTTACTAGTAGTTGGTTTTTACTTGTGTTTTTTTATTTTTTAGAGTTTTTAGATTTTTATATACAGTATTACCTATATTGCAATAAGTTACAATTAATTTATTTAGGTAAAGGTTATTGATATAATGACAATAAATTTTCATTTAAATAAAGTTTTACATTTAATGTTCATTTATAAAAAAATTTTTTTTTTGTTTCTTTGTTAATATTAATATTAATTTCTTTTTAAGATATAGAAAAATTGAAATTAAGTTTTTTCTTTATGTAAAAGATTCTTAATATAATGGCTATTAAAACATGGGTTTAATAAAGTTTTGTATTTAATACATATTTGTGATTAAAAAAAAGATTGTAAGTTTTTATTTAATAAGTTTTTTTATTATATTGATTCTATTATAGTTTAGAAGATAAAAAATATATTAATAGTAAAAAAAAAATGTAAAAGTCTTAAGAGATATAAATTTTAATAAAGTATCTCTAATATTAATATAATAGTTTCGAGTTTTTTTTATAGGTTTTGAATAATATAAATATTATTTTAAAACTCTTGTGGTTTTTTTTGAAAACAAATAAAGTTATCTAAACTTTAAATCTGTTATCAAACTTTGAAAAATAAGTAAATACAATAGGAGTAGAAATATAAATTATATTCATTTTGATGTTTTTATAAATAATAACAACAATATAATTGTTAATATTTGTAATAAAAACATCAAACAGATTATATAAAGATTTGATAAGTTAATTCTTGAAGAAAAAAAAATAACTCCCAAGATTTTTCCAGTTTTTTTAAAAGAAAAAAATTTTAAGTTTCCTTATTTGATAATTTCTGTTAAATGCAAGTGTTAACAAAAAGTATTTTTTAAACTAAAATAAATAAATAAAAGTTTTATAATACATTATACAGTACATTGTATATAGATACCAATATTACTAATATATTTTTTAAATGAAAAAATTAAAAATATTATACAATTTTATTATTTTAAAAAATCAATAATAACAATAAAAATCAAGATTAAATAAATATTGCAATAAAAAATATTTTTTAAAAAATTATAATTATTACATATTTTTTTAATATTAATCACGCAATATATTAAAACTGCTTTTTATTGAAAAATATCTAATAAATGACAATTTAAAAAATTTTTTTAGTTTCATCAATATACGATCTAGTGCAAAAGTCTTTGAACTTTTTTTTTTAAAAAAAATCATTTTGTATGTAATCGACAAAATGGAAAAGTGTGTACCAGAACTTTGGTTGCTATCTACGGCCGCAGAGGAGTGTTATTTATGCGTCAAACTCGTGCGGCACTGTACAGGTACGATTTCAAGTGAAATTTCCGAATTATTAAATCCCTTACATTAGTACTAGAATGACTGACCGGATATTTTTTATATCGTTTACTAGCGATATAATATTTATTATGTTATATAAAATATATCTATTTATCTATCTATATTAATAAAGCGATAACATCTGTCAAACTTTGGCGTAAGGACCAGTGGTTGGCAGTAAATAATTTAATGCCAGAGCGTTATTCAAATTGAACTATGATCAATTCACCTATTTACTATGTTCAAAAATAAAAGAAAGTATTTACTGAATATTTACCTTGACATAAACCTCCCTACCATCCTTAAAATTTAAGACATCAAAGTATAAATGAAACCAATCGTTTTTAGATCCAATCAACTCAAAGCAGTAAGCATATTATAGCTCACCATCAATGTCGTATTAATATATGTACTTAGCATACAAACATTTGTTTTTTTTTATGGCACATGTAGCAAGTCACTTCACAAAACAAGAGCAAAGAGAAGTAGAGAAAAATCATAAATCCTAGGTATAAAGCACGGACATAAGAACATCATATCTGCTAGTAACATTAAAATTTTATCTAATAACAAAGTCCGAAAATCTACTTAAACAATATAAATTACCATAGTACGGAAATTTCACTTGCACAGGTGACACACGTACCGCACGAGTGACGCATAAAGAACATCCCAACTAAAACTACTGTAATACTGTATATCATTTGGGATTTCAGATTCATCTTGGTCGAACCACTTTATGTGAATTAACTGACATATTATATTATGGTTGTACCTTGGATCTAAAATTCAGTATACAGTATATTTGCTTAAAAGCATTGATTGCTTACAAACATTCATATCAAATAAATTAATTAACGGAAGGTACGTAACTACACACTATGTATTTAAACTTTAACAACAATACAAGTTTTGATGTGAGAACCGTAAACACTCATGCAGTAACGGTTTATTTATGTTAATGAGTGCATGAATATTTTTTTTTTGTTGGGATAAGGTTAAATGAATATTCTATTTTAATTTAATAACAGATATCTGCAACCATTATATATATATATTTTCAAACCATTGATTCCCCTAATGGCGAGGCGAAATCGAATGATATTGTTATCTATAATACTCATAATTATATTAGGGTTTTCGATAAATAATACGACAAGATGGACGGCGCCATCATTAGAGTCTACTAATGAAGTATTGAACTTAAATTTGACAAACTTTGTGGATCTTAGAATCGGGACTGAAAACGGTATGTAAATAAATTTGGGTGTTTGGAGTAAACGCATTTTTTGCATTATGTAACATGCAGTATATCTCTCAGAGGGTCATATATTTCCAGGAGCATGTTTGCCATTTGGAATGGTGAAAGTTGGACTTGACACTGATTTTAGCAAAGATTTTCATGCTGGGTATATATCTACATTTTCTTTATGATCAATGATGGTAAATGTTCTGATCTTTTTTTCAAATCAGATACACAGTTAGAGGAGACGTCACGGGGATTTCACGCACGTATTTGACCAACATTAAAGTGATTAGGAGTTAAGTATGATTATAAATTAAATTTAACATCAATTCGTTTTGATCTTTTAGATTTACATGTGAGTGGCACTGGGGGTATGTATGCGCATAAACACATCAAAAACAAAATACGAACGTTACCAATATTCATCTTATTTTCTTTTTGAAGGGGAAGCAAAATATGGTGTAATCAGTCAACTTCCAATTGTCGCATCACTCTCTGAGATAAACCTTTCCATCATAAAATCGCCAAGGTCGTTTGAACGCTTCACACCTGGCTATTCCATATTCGGTCTCAAGCGATATAACATTACCGTGGAGTTGACAGCCACCCGACGAGCCGCATTACATCAATACACCTATCCCGAAAACGCTAGTAATAATTCTCATGTGATAATTGATATATCTCACTTTTTGCAACAAGCTTGTGCCTGGTGCACGTAAGTTTTGCATAACCGCATCTTACGACAAAAAGTTTCATAAAAAAAAAAAGATCAATTTCAAATCTTTTTACTTTGATGATACATTTCATAGAGGAAAATTCCATGATGGTGCTATCTATTCTGTGAACAATACTCAGGTAAAAGGCATGGGTCGATATTCAGGCGGATGGAACTTAGGAGGTCCTTACAAGGTCTATTTCTGCTCTCAATTTGATACTCCGGCTATATTTTATTCCACTTGGTGGAACTTTCTCATCACGAACACAAGTTTTGATGTTGGGGCAGATGGGCATCCTATCGGTGCGATTCTAACTTTTGATACGAAAAGGTCTGGTAACATGTTTAATAATACTTTTGGATTGTATAACATTCAATTGATATAACCCTCTTCCTTGTTTACAATCAAAAGTACACGTGTAATAAGATCTAGAGTTGGGATCTCCTTCATCTCGGCCACGCAGGCTTGCCAAAATGTAGAATCAGAGATTCCAAATTTTGATTTTATACAAATAAAGAGAGAGGCAATCAAAGCTTGGGAAAGAGAGTTGGAGAAGATAGTGGTTGAGGGCGGTGACAATGAGGCAAAGACAATATTTTACAGCAGTTTGTACCGTACTATGCTTATGCCGAGTGACAGGTAGCTTTCTGAAAATTAGAAAGATAGAGTGAATGGATTTTATGTGAGACAACGGTCTTAAGAGGGTTTTGATATTGCATTTACTCAAAATTATACACTTTCCATGTATTCATATTTGGCGTGAGATTAGCAAAATTTAACACGTTCATATAATTTTCTTCATTTAGAACGGGGGAAAACCCAAAATGGGAATCATTTGACAATAATGGAAAGATTATTCCACACTATGATGATTTTTATGCTTTGGTAAAAAAGGTGTACTCTTTTATTAACAATTTCAACGATTGATTTATATAACTTTTATTTTTTATTTTTTCCTTTTTATACAGTGGGACACGTTTAGGTAAATCACTAGTAATTTAAATTGAACCTTGGATTCATTCTCATTTTTCATAAAAATAAATTTAAACCCAGAACCACAAACCCGTTATATACTTTATTCCAACCAAAGCGACAAGTTGACATTGTTCGTTCGCTAATTGATATTTACAAAAATGAGGGATATATGCCAGATGGTCGGAGTGGTTTGGAGAATGGAATAACCCAGGGCGGATCAAATGCTGACATGCTTTTGGTAAGATGTTAATTTATGAATTTTTTTTCCTTTCTATCGCATTCTTTTTTCTTATTCCGTTAATGCTTGTTTGTTTGCGTCACTAAGGCGGAAACCTTTATTAAAAATATCGATCGCAATTCAGAAATAGACTGGTCACTTGCCTATCAAGCTTTACTTAAAGATGCTGAGGTTGATCCTTGGAGTCGAGGTTTATACGAAGGAAGGTTGTTTTTAAATTGGTACAAAAAATTAGGATACATTCCTACAGAAGTCCTTACCAGGATGGGGTATGCTTTTAGTCAGTGCAGTCGAACGCTAGAGTATGCAGCGAACGACTATGCCATCAGTTTGGTAGCAAAGGGTATGGAATTTATTTTTCACTAAATTTAGTACTTGGTAACGCTACACCAAACTAACATCACCTTTAACTTGATTTTATAACCCAGGTATGAACAAGAAAATGGACTACGTGAAGTACCGAAATCGTTCCAGAAATTGGGAAAATCTGTGGTACCCTAAAGAATTTCAGGGTATGAATTTTATACTCCTTCTGTAAATTATTGGCGCTTCGTTAACTGGATTTATAAAAAATCAAGGTTTTACTGGATTCATCCTACCAAGATTTAGCAATGGTAAATTTTACACAGAATGGGATATTATGGACACATATGGAGGAGTAACTCCGTTCTATGAAGGCACCTCTTGGGAATATAGCTTTTATGTTCCTCACGGTAATTAATTGGCATCGCAATATTTGACCTAACGCTGATCAAAAATCCACCTAATCGCTTGCCTATACTTACGCGATGCAGATATCAAAAAACTAATTGAACTCTCGGGTGGCCCTATAAAATTTGAGGAGCGTCTTGACAAAACATTTGATAACAGTGATCCTTACAGATTGTATCTTAACAAATATTTTAATATTGGAAACGAACCAAGTTTCTTGACCCCATGTTTGTATCATTATATTGGGAAACAGTGGAAAAGCGTCAAATTAATCAGAGATATCATGAAAACCAAGTTCAGAAGTGACAGATCTGGAATCCCTGGTGAGTCTATATTTCCACAATATTATGTTGACATTGAAAGCACGAATGTAATTATATCAAATATTACACGTATGCAGGAAATGATGATTCAGGGGCAATGGGGTCTTGGTACGTCTTTCATGCGATAGGAATATTTCCAAAGTAAGTTATTATTTAAAAAATTTAACAATACGTCAACCATATTTGTATAATTTATATTCTCTTTTCGTCATACATTAGTGCCGGCCAAGATGTCTACTTTATAAACTCCCCTCATTTCAAAAACGTTACAATTAAACTCTCCGATTCGTCTGATTCAATTTTAACAATACTTGCATATAATCTTTCCCCTACGAATATTTATGTTCAGTTAGCAAGGCTCAACGGAAAATTTTGGGAAAAAACATGGTTTAAACATTCTGATATTGGTAACGGTGGAAAATTAGAATTGTGGATGGGTGCAAATGTGAGCGAAACTTGGGGAGTTGGCAAACACTTAATATATCCGCCAAGCCTGAGTGAGGAGGCCGTTGAAACCGGACTTCCCTTTATTTCTAGTATCGAACCCGACCTCGTGGTTGATGAGGTTTTAGAGAAAAAGTAGATTATGGAATTAATGATTTAATAAATTAAAAATTTCTGTTTTCATTATATTAGATCCGAGCCATACATAATCAGTCCATTACTGTGTTCTGGTATGGAAATTTACTGAATTATAAGGCATATTGACAACTAGTATCGATATTACATTTTTAAATGCACTTATGTATAACTGTACTATATTTTTTATTGAGAAAAATCAATTGATTTTTTAACTAATCTATTATTAATATACAACGACTTCCAAAAGTATGAAAAACCTATTATGTATATAAAATTTTTAATTATATATATTGTAAGAGGATAAGAAGCTCAGCATAAAATGTATACTAGATAAGATCACCTTTTAACACAACAAAAATTCTTTGTACATTTGGTTATTCGGTGACTTATTTATTAACCATACATTTTCTAACATTGATACATATGCCAGATTAACCATCTCTCTTATAACTAAATAGTAATCATTTGTCATT